GTGACAGGAGTCATCATTCACATCCAGGTGGTAGCCTCCAAAGAGAGATTCGCTGGTGCCAGTCCCAAAGTCTGGATTTCTTTTTTCCTGTGGTCAGTGGTCCAAAGGACAGATAGCTTGGCCTAGAAATGGAATAAGGATAATCTTGTTTCTTGCAGGGTGAAGGAGTAGGAGAGGGAGAAAAGAAAGTGAAGAATATGTCAATTTTGAAATCAGCTGCCACTAGTCAAGCAGCAGGCATTAGATGGACCCTTTGACCCCTGTAACAAAATGAGAAGAAATATTTTAATAGTAAGGAATGTATTGGCTTTAACAATAATAATCTTAGCCAGAATTGGTGGCCCACGCCTATAATCTCAGCCACTGGGAGGCTGAAAGAGAAAGATTATGACTTCCAAGTCTAGCCTTAGCAACATAGCAAGACACTTTCTCAAAAAAAAAAAAAAAAAAGAAAAATTAAAAAGGGCTGGAGATGTGGTTCAATCCCTGGTACAAAAATACCCAAAACTCCAAAACAAACAAAAAATTAGATAAAGAGAATCCAAATAGCTATAGTTGATACATACAGACCGTTCTATAAGTTGACAAGTTTAGATGAAGAAAAATCCTTCCAAAAATCTACCAAATTTAAGTCTATTTTTGTCTTTCACATATGTGAAAAATCAGAAAGGTAATAAATTACATCTACAACCAAAGAAATAATCCAAGTAGAATAGATTTGGAAGCTTGCTTAGTATTCAGACTGCCTCATAAAAAAATTCTGTTGAAGATACCGTCAACTGTAAAATGGAACGTTCGGTCCTCATAGTGTGACCAGTGTTAGAGTTTGAAGAGATGCAGCAATTGTGTTCTCCAAAGGGACTTGTGGGGTTGAGCAGTTGACCTTGTTGTGTGGCCTTAAAATGCGGCGAGAAGGGAAATGGGGACAGAGAGGGTAACAGCTCACTGCCTCTGGATTGGCTTCCCTGCAGCTGTTGACTAATCACTACGAGAGATGCTGGAAGTACTACTGCTTGCCTGGGGGCTGGGGCAGCTTTGGTGCTGCCTCCGAAGAGGAGCTTCACTTATCAAGGAAGTTGTTCTGGGGCATTTTTGATGCCCTGTCTCAAAAGGTAATTTAATGTTTAGTGGATTTATTTGTATTGATAAAACGATAAAATGCTATAGATTTCTGAGAAGATAGTATTTCCAGTGGCGTAATGGCTGTACTATCGGACTTACACAAATTTTTTTCCCCTCATTTTCAAACTCATGAGGCACTGAGTGTGCAGTTTATGAGAGTGCAGTTGATTCTTCACAGTCATTATGGTAGCATGTTGCTTGTGATCATTACACTGTTCCTGAATTTAAAATAGCTGAGCATTTCAGGAATTTGGGTTCATAGTTAAGTTTCTAGTGCATTGGACTTAATTTGGACTATAATTCTCCCTAGTTATCTTTCAAGCTTATAAAACCTCAAGAAATTGTGTCAAATATAAGACTATAAAACATAAAACTTTACAAAAATACATATCTATCTATCTATCTATCTATATAAATAAATAATTGTAGTATTCCAGTGGTCTACCAACACCTTCTACTTGCTTCTGTGGAAGCTTAAGTACCTCTGTGGTGCTGTTTGCCTGTGTGGATTTACCTTGTAATGCTGAGTTTATAATGAATATGATTCAGGTATGCTTAGATGACTGAAGGCAATCAAAACACCACATTTGGTAGGTTCATGTTTAATCAAAATCTGCTTGAATTCTGCTCGGTACCATGAATGAACAGAGCAGCTTAACAGCAAATGTGCTGTATAGTAGGGAAAAGTTTATCTGTGATTACATTTGGTGGCTACTCGTGATGCTTTTTTCCAGTGAGTTTCCATTGTTAGTCTGAGAGCCCTTCTAAAATAATGTTTCAGTATTTCTAGAAACATTTACAACATCAATTTAAAATTGGAAATTCTAAGTGAAATATTTTAATTATTTTTGATTTTTTTAAAGAAATTCACAACCATAAATTTTAACTAATTTTGTAACCAATAGAAAAATACATCTTCCCAGAAATTTTTATTACATACACTTCCAATAGAACTATTTTCCCGGTTTGGATTATATTTTTTATCCCTTTGAAATGCAACAGGGAACAGTAAATTTTTCACTCTCTGGAGTGGTGGCCTTTATATGATTTCATATATGATCATTGTAAAGTAGTGCAGCAGTTATCCATAACTGTTAGGAATGCAGTCTCTGTGGACTGAAATCACACATTCATGTTGAAAGAGGTGATAAATTTAGAATAGTCAGGCTTATGTCATTTTACCTTGGGAGAATGCACTTTCAAGGAGCAGAGACTGTGTTCCTTCAGCTTGGTGGCTGGACACTTGGCTGCAGCTCCTCATGACGCTGTGTTCCATTTGCTAGAGAGAATCTCATGAAGTGGAGTTAGCCTAGGGCGGTTCAGATCTTCTCCCGAATCATCTTTGTCACAGTGATCATGCTGATGGCTTTTCCTATGAAGTCACTTGGTAAATTTTTGGCCCTCCTTTTATTCCTAGAAATATGAACAAGAACTTTTCAAGCTGGCACTGCCTTGCCTGAGTGCAGTCGCAGGAGCTTTACCTCCAGACTACATGGAGTCAAACTATGTCAGTATGATGGAAAAACAGTCATCCATGGATTCTGAAGGGAACTTTAACCCACAACCTGTTGATACCTCCAAGTATGGACTCTTTCTATTGCAGCAGATTTTTATTGTAAATGATGTGTGAAGTCTGAAATTGAATAAGGTACTGAAGTGAACTTTCTTTAATACATGCCCCCTTTGAATTGGTATCCTTTTAATAGGAGTTCTTTAATTTATCAAATGATAGGAGTAATAATGGTGATTATACCAATATCAAAAATACATAAGATGTGCCTTCTAGGATACTCTTAACATAAGGAGGAGTCCATGAATATAACCAGGTGGTAGTATCTGTGATGGTGAGAGTCAAGAAAGTATATGAGCTGTATTTTTAGTTGAAAAGTGACCCAAGATGTTTATCAGTAACTATAGTCAAACCCCTCTCTGGCATCTTGTAGTTGCAGTGAACCCAGCAGTGTTGCAAAGCTGTCTCTGTGAGAGTCAGGGAATTGCTCCACCCCCTACTCTATCACCCAAGGTCAGGATGAGTGGCCAATGTTTAGCATTATAAAACACATTATAATATGGAAGGAAATATCAAATAAGATTTTTTTTTTAGTGGAAGATTTAGCATGCAGTTAGAATACAGCTTGACAACCTTAACCAAAAACATCAATCAGCATGACAAAACTCCTTATGTGTGATTAACTACATGAATTGTTCTATGGATAGGATGCTTGGATCCTCAAGTGTCCCAAGTCTCAGCACTTTGTCTTTCCCTTTCTCTAAGTGGAAGCCTGGATCCCTGTTTGCAAGGACAGCTGCCTCTTCCTGCTATAAGATCTTATTGATTCCACCATGGCTCAGCAAGATCGGTTTGGCAGGGCAGTTATTTGGTAGTTCTGTGCCCTGCTTCTGAATTTGCTTGGAAATTCAACTTTTGAGGCTCCTAGGCAGCTCCTAGGCTGTAGTTCAGCCTCCATTTTGAAATCAAAATTTCAACCCAAGTGATAAGCCATTAGTCAATGCTTTAAATTTGCATATTTGGTATTTGATGACAGTTCTGTGGGGAAAGAGTCTACCCAGTATTTGGCTTATATGATTGATCCTTTGTATCTCTTCCAAAGTAAGTAATCAAACATCACAGGTTCATATTTCTACCTGGGTAAGTTTGTGATTTGTTAACATACTGTATAATTCAGGATTTTAAAGTAACATTAGGACATTGTCATGGTTTTAGTGTTGATTAATTAAATCCAGTTAATTAACAAGTGTTGGGCATGTATATTAATTAACCTAGTCTTGATCCTTTGGGACTTCTTTACAGATACAGGTCTACATCATGATAGAGATAATTGCTTGTGTTTTATACATTGCTTCTTAAGTACATGTATGCTAGCTACTAACTGATTACTTTTCTGGAAAAGAATGGAAATTGTCTTATTATTCTAGGGTTTTATTTAGAACTCTATTCTTAAAATTAACTGCTTTGTTTTGAACAACTAATAATAAAAAAATAAAAAAAATAAAATTAATTCCTTTAATATGTTGCATTCTTTAATGAATGGAATTGTACATATATTTAGTTTTTCATTCATAGATGTATTTGATACTCCCAAGATTGACTGGGTCATCAACTGGATGTGCTTGACGTCTGTATAAGGGATTATATGTATATTTAAACACGGAAGGAGTCAGGAATGAGTGTTATCAAAACCATAAAGCAGGAGTTGGTTAATTACTTTTCCCTGTGGTCAATATCAATAACACCTATAATATTTTCTGTAGACCCTTAATATTTAAAAGTATTGTCACATAACTTGTTGGGTTAAATTAAAACTCCAAAAGGTTCAATTTCAGCAGTCTTCTCCAATTACAATTGTTGCAGAGGAGAGAGTCAGAGAGAGTGGATTCAAAGAGTATGGAAGACAAGTGTGTCTTAAGCTTGTTGAGTCCAGCCATATCTTAACTTAGGGTTTGTTTTCTTTTTCATATAATCTATTGTCTTCATCTTTGAGTATGTGTTAATTAATATCATGCCTATTTTATTATACCTAATTTGTTATATTAACATAATAAAAGATGTATCAACTTAAGATGAACAGGTGGAACATCATCTGCTTGACTTTTCTCTCACTGTTCTGAAAGATGTGAAACTTTGTTAAAACTGTTTTTAACCTTTATGCATTGAATAGGATCTAAGCATTTGTAAATTATAAATTATGAATATGATTCCCTGTAAATTCTTTGATAATCAAGCTTTTTTTCTTTATTTTTCTCATAGTATTACAATTCCTGAGAAGTTGGAATACTTCATTAACAAATACGCAGAGCATTCCCACGACAAATGGTCAATGGACAAGGTAAAAGTTGGAGCACTACTATGGGGAGGTGGCCAGTGCCTCATTTGGGGGTTCTTCTTCCTGCCAAAGAGGGTGTAAGCCACCTGAGAAATTAAAGTCTAGAATAATTAGTGAAAAAGAAAAGAGTCGAAAAAATAGTTTCAAACGGGGAGCTCCTGATAGGTCCAGCCCACACAGAAGCTGGAGCCAAACAATTGCTCTCATGGTTTATTTAATGGGGTACATCAGAGGCAGGGGTAAGGTTTTAAGGGTGGAGTCTTATTTCGTCATATCTTGCAGTCAGTAGGTTGACTGGCATCTTGGCAGGTCATATCCATCTCAGAGGGGCTGTGCAGCTACACACAGAAGGTCACCTCATCTCCAATGCTGTGTGGGACATAGCAGAGCAGAATAGGAATTCACAATGTCTCTGGGCAGTCAAACAGATTAAATGTCTACTAGAAGTTCCCAGACATCAGATTATCCTATTCACTAGGCTGCACTGGCAACAGAATCCACACACAGCCCACAGATGGTTCTCCACACACTACCTTCTGGTCCAGGCTGCTGTGTTCATAATGGTCATGCTCTGACATATTTGGCCTGATCATTTTCTCTTTCAAAGGGAGAACTTTTTCTAAATTAGGTAAGAATGCCGGACATAGTGGCACATGACTATAATCCCAGCACTCTGGGGGCTGAGATGGGAGGATCACAAGTTCAAGGCCAGAATCAGCAACTTAATGAGGCCCTGTCTCAAAATAAAAAATAAAAAGGGCAGGGTAAAGTGTCCATGGGTTCAATCCCCAGTAGCAAACCCCCCAAAAATAATTTAGGCAAGTACATCAAATTTCAATTTGCTAGTATAATATTTAGCTAGTTCTGCCACATTAACACAGTTATGATGTACAGAGAATATTTGTGTTCATAAAAAATACAAATTTAAGATTCCAAAAAGATCTTAATAAAATCATGAGTATAATTCTGAATATTATTTTTTGTGGAAGTTAAAGGTAACAATCACTAAGGTCTTCAGGAAGAATTGGAGGCACCAAGTTCGAAATCCATCTTGGTTTTATATGTAGTTTCATATTAGATCAAAAATCGTGAAAATTCTTCATCAAGATTCAGTAATAGTTTGTCCCTTCAAGTCCACCATTGTGTTTCCTATTATCAAATAGATCTGTATTTCACTAAAAGTAGATTAAACTGACCAGATGACACTTGTTTTGTGTTTTCAAGAAAACAACCCAATTGAGAAAAGTAAAGCAGTAGAAATCTGTGAGATTTTTGCTACTGGTCAAGAGATGTTCTAAAGGAAAGGCTATACATGAGGATTAATTTAGTTTAAACTTGAAAAAGACTCTCAGACTTGTCAGAGAATTCAGAAGGTGCAAGAATCTAAAATCCACATGCAGATTTGGTGAATGAAAAGCAGCAGGGGGTTCCCAGGATGCTGGGTAACCTGGTAACAGTGTGAAGCTTCCCTCTGGCCAGCCAATCCTTTTCCCACTCAAATAAGCACTTTTTGTTGGTTTGTATGATAAATGTGTGACTGCTCATCAGTTCACTGATTGATGAGGTAAGTCAGTTAGGACCATTTTTACATAATGACTTTGTCAACACCACGTGGGTGGAATAGTGATGGCCAGGAACATGCAGGATGCGGTCCCTTGCAGTCCAGTTCCAGCTGATGTAGGGAGGTACTGATGTATCCAGATGGGCGGAAGAATGTGGGATGGATCTATTGAAAGACTTTGGAATATAGGAATGGGCAAAACAGAAAATACTGTCCTGTGAACCTCCTGAGGTGCATGCTCTAGTTTTCCCATTTAAAATGAGCATTTCATTGGGGCTGGGGTTGTGACTCAGTGGTAGAGCGCTTGCCTAGTACATGTGAGGTGCTGGGTTTGATCCTCAGCGCCACATAAAAATAAATAAAATAAAGGTATTGTTTCAAATTACAACTAAAAAAAATTTTTAAAAATGGGCATTTCATGAGCTCGTGCCACAGTGGGGTCCCAAGATGTGTCAGAATAAATATTGTCACTGTCACAGTATGCATCCCAGAAGCCGCCTCCTAGGGTACTGTTTATTGGTACAATCAAAGACTTGCATCTCTTTAAGGAAGACAGATATTTCAGTATCTGACAAGAAGACTTGTTTGAAATGATGACTTAAAATAGCATTAAGTTGGAAATCTTTATAGGACTTATGCTAGATACAATTTAAACCTTAATTCTCATCTTGGTTCATTTTACACTTGGTCTAGTACACTCTCATACACACGCACACCTGCATTGTCTAAAATCATACACGTAAAACAGGTTTTGGTGTTTGTATTTTTATAGTTGGCAAATGGATGGATTTATGGAGAAATATATTCGGATTCTTCTAAGGTGCAGCCATTGATGAAGCCATATAAACTCTTATCTGAAAAGGTGAGGTTTTTAAGTTTATAAAGTTTTAATTTGTGGGAATTTTTGTCTTTGTTGTATTTTTTTTCCTATTGAGATACCTTCTTTATTTTACGCTTTTACCTTTATTCAAAGGTCCCATTTTTTTATCTTCTATTTTATCTTTTGCTTTCCAGTCTCATTTTGGGTCAGTATTTCATTGCTTATTATCTTGTCTCTTAATAATTTTCATTTCTCTTTTGCTTTTTATCTCTCTCCCATATTTTTGAGAACTGTAGAACTAAATAGTCTGTGCTTCAGCCTTTCTTGGTGATGAGTGATAAAGTGATACTTAATGTGCTTCTTAGGTGGGAGTCCTTCAAGTCTGTTTCTGCCACAAGGGAAAAGGCGTGCGTGACCAAGGAGCACAGGGGACTCTGTGGCCTGGCAGGTGACGCAGGGGGTCCCGCCTCTGTTCAGAGAGCAGGAGGCCTTCACACTGGCCTCTTCTTCACCCTTTCTCTA